TTCGTTACGTTACTAACAAATATGGCACGTACATTGTCATAGCCAACTTGATCCATAAAAATTAAGAAGTGATTTTATAACCTTCCAAAATTTGCCAAAGCAATTTAGGACATATTAACTAATTTACGATGGTCAAATATTTTTGCACTCATTCGAAAATAATAATTTTTTAATATTTCGATAACATTTGTCGTTGTTATCGATCAAAATATTGAGTTGAGGATCCTCGTATGCAAATCATACTTTTAAAAGGAGGATATTACAACTATATATATTCTCATACTTACGTTGGTAAAATTCTTATGAAAAGTGACATAATTGAATTAGGTATGATATGATACCTCCAAGGGTTTGATTATTTTAATATACATATCAATGAAGTGTCGATGATAAGTTTATCGTAGATTGATGCAGATGAATCCTGCATAGGACAATTTTTAATCCTTAGTTAAGAAACCTCTTGGGCTTAACTAGTTGGACTTGCATTTAATTAGTATCGATAAGAGTCCTTATTGTTGTACAAGAATGACCGGGTTTATATCAACATTACCATGAATATTCCGTTAACATTAACTACGAGGCTTGTGGCTTGGTGCTTTATAACTATTCTGTCCCTCAAACTCGTTGGTCGTCCTAGGGTCGTTGTCCATCCCGTACACTATCCCAAGGTCATTTATGTGATCTACCTAGCTTGGTCTAGTGTTTTCACGTTAATTCAGATTAATTGCTTGACATGCTAGTCAGATTCAGTTCTAAGTTAAAGATCGATAAGACACATTTGATATCAAATCCAAACAAGGTGACTTCTTGAAACCAAATAGATGATTGGGATTAATATGACCCCAAGTAGTGTAAATCATCTATAAATACTAGTAGAATATATAAGATACGAGCTATTGGACATTCTAAACTTGTACATTACGAAGATCTACATAATCTTGCAACATGAAGCTATAAATTGATAGTCTTTCTTTTTCTTTTTTTGTTTTTTTAACAATTACCAATAATTTTTCCAATAATGTTACTAAATATGTGATTACTTGTGATGTTCAACATATCGAACCGTGTCATATGAATAGTCATGCTAATGAGCTGTCTATGCCTATGTTTGACACCCATTTTT